GCAAAATTTGTTAATGCTCTAAGAACAAGATTTGTCGAAGAGAAGGACCAAGAAATAATGCAGGGCCTCCCAGAGATGCCTGCTTTCAGTGGAAGGAAACGCTGTTCCTGACAGTCGACCTCAAGAGAGCTGAATTTGACGTTGCATTGCTGATGTTTCTAAGAGAAAGTGAACATGAGCTGATGATTATGGTGGATGGTGTGTGGCTGACTCAAGCACACTGGGAGTCTTTTTAAAATTTCCTTTGAAAGGAAACACATTTTTAAAATTATAAAAGATTTTACTTTTTTAAATTTCTTTTCTTTTCTTTTTTCTTTTTTTGCTGAGGAAGATTCACCCTGAGCTAAATCTTTTGCTAATCTTCCTCTTTTTGTTTGAGGAAGATTCACCCTGAGCTAACATCTCTGCCAGTCTTCCTCTATTTTGTATGTGGGCTGCCGCCACATCATAGCCACCAACAAGCAGTATAGGTCTGTGCCTGGGAACCAAACCTGGGCCGCTGAAGCAGAGTGTGCTGCACTTAACCACTAGGCCACAGGGCTGGCCTTGCAAAATTTTTAATTTTTAAAATTATATAGAAGTAACAAGGCAACCTCAAGTGTAATTTTATGTAGTCATAAGCTTTTGAAAGCTTGGTGCTTTAATTCCTTAAAAAGTCTTATATATGAGATTTGGGGATGTGTAATTTTTTCCGTGTGTATAATTATTGATGAAATTGTGGGACTCACTGGCATAGAGCTATGTAAGTAATCACACTGGGAGCCTTTGCTCATTAGGTGGCACACCAATGAAAACGTGTCCTCTGGGTGAATATCCAGGGTATTTAGAATTCGAAATGTCATTACTCTAGAGACTGCAAGGATCCAGACCATCTGCATGTTTAACTTTCAGCATGTTCATCCTGTCAACAAGATGACTTGTGGGGGATGACTAAACACAGCAACTAAGAATGTTTTTAACAAAACTAAAATTGTAAACTGTGTAACAGTTCAACTCAGATAAAATAGCAGTCTGTCTTTCTGCCAGTCCTGGAAGTCAGTGAGTAAGGTAGAGTCTGGTGGGATGTTAATTCCCCAGGAAGGTGGAGAAAAGGGACAGTCCAGGCAGTAGACATCACATCTCCAAACCACCTGCTCAAGCCACTTCCCAAGACAGCGCAGCCCGTGTCAGTTCTTGTGAGGTGCCCTTCAACCTCAGGCAGAGGGCAGGGTCACGGATCCTGGAAGACTGAAGGAACCTGGTGAGGCTCTCCCAGAAAATTAACCTAGACCATAAAGTTTGCCTACAAGTTTAGGGAGTTAATGGTCTGCTTGGCTTCATCAATGTCTAGTTGAGAACTGTCTGCTTTTCTAGAGTTGAGGTCACATTCCTTTTTCGTTAAATGCAGTAAAATTGAGACAACTTTTTAAAATCACGTAATCAAATTTCACATCACTAAAGGCTGTTAAACTACTTGCCGTGTGCTGAGAGATGGAGACACCTGACAGACCAGGCAGCCTGGCTGGGCAGCGGTGGGGGTTTGAAGATTTCCTCTGCTCCGGTCCTGCTCTGCTCCTCTCTAGCTGTGTGTCTCTGGGCTGTTTTCTCATCTCTGGCCTCTGTGTTCTCGTCTGTCGAGGGGGGCAGTGGTGCTGCCTCACAGCGGGTGAGAAGTCAGGGGAGTCACGTCCAGTGCTGCCTTCGTGATGATCAGGTCTGCTCCTGACTGCAAATCTAACGAAGCCCATGGCCAGGCGTGGACAGTGGATCGCTCTGCCTGTGCATGTTCTGTGATGAGACAGACTTTAACATGAGCAACAGAGCACTCTGTTCTTTATCTTCCTGTCTTTGTGCTCACACGCTCACTCATAAACACATAGATGTGTGAGTTTAGATTTTCTCTTGGATCCAAGGAATCTACCTGGAATTTCAAATAGCTACGGTTTTATTTAGCTTTACTTAATTCTAGTTTTATTATGTTATCAGAGAGTTTGGCCTATCAGATCTCTACTTTGAAATGGGTTAAATGTACCTTTGCGGCCGTTTTCATAATGGATTTTTGTAAATATTTTATTGACACATGAAAAAATCAGATTCTCTGTTTGAAGGATGTGATGTTTTCTGCTTGTCCATGAAGCGGGGTTTGGTGGTTATATTATTGAATTCTTCTCCATCCTTCCTTGTTTAGAATTGTCAACTTTGAAGAGATATATAAAAATCTCCTACAACATTTTTATTTCTAACAAATTTTCATTAAATTTCCAACAGATTTTGCTTTATATATGTATCTAAATAGAGGCTACTGCCTGGTTTTATTTCTTTGTAAATTGTCTTTTGCCTTTTCATCTTAATTACCATTTTAACTTAAAATTTCAGTTTGTCACCTGTTAACACTGCCACTCTTGTTTTCTTGGTGTTTGCGTGTAACAGTGTGGTAGTCTTCCTGCTGGGTGCCCATCCATTATCCGGTCCTCCGTGGGTAACTGGCTAAGCCAGCCGTGCTAACCCTGAACCGTCTGCTAGGGGTTTAGTTGTTTTTTTAAAGGATTTTTTTCCATGATATTAGAAAACTGTAGTTTATGTTGATGACAGAAGGGGTAGTTAGGAAAACTTATGCCCTAGGACACTCATTCCACATTGGCGAAGGAAATCCACCAAAAGCAGAGTTCTCAAACTTGGTCTTAGGGATCCTTTTTACTCTTCAAGATTAGTGAAGACCCCAAAGAGATTTCACTTATGTGAGTTATATCTATTAATATTTATCATAGAGAAATTTTAAAATAGACAGTGGCGTTTTTCACACCTTTGCAAATCTTTTTGCTGTCTGCTGTAATAGAGGACAGCCGAATTCTCAGGTCTGGTCCTGAATTCGGTCTGCTACAATAGCACATGTCATGTGGCCTCTGGAATACTCCATTGCACACTCATGAGAGCGTGAGAATGAGAGGGAAAATAACATGAATGATACTGTGGAAGTAATTTTGACCTTGGGGACCCTAAGGAGTCCCTGGACAACACTTTGAGAACCACTGCATTGGGGTAGCAGTCTGCCCCTCACTTCTCCTGGTGGTGAGAGTAGGGCTGTGCAATGCTCCTCTTTTTTTCTCTCATTTTTCTTTGAGGAATAGAAGAAAAATGGATTTGCATATTCAGGTCTGTTTCTCTTGGGTCCTAAGTATTACAGCAGCAAGAAGCCCATTTGGAAGGTTTTGTTTATTAAACGAGCCCCGTGGCTCAGCGGCTGAGCCTCTCTTGGGTCAGAACCAGGAAGCCCATTGTGGCTACATATCCAAGTCACATCCCAGTCCCGCTTTTATCAGCAGTAATAAAGCTGATCTCTTAATCTCAGTCAGCCTGAATTCTTTGTCTCCAATTTGGTTCTAATTCAGGCAGGAGAAATGGATATTCTCACCATTAAAGTGGTGCTGATGGTGATGATGGTTGGACAAGAAAGACATCTGATAATAATACTTAGCTGATTTGAAAAGATTGACACTGCTGCCATGGCTTCTCAGGTGTGTTCAGTATGACCTAGTCTGACTTCCAGCCAAGGCCCTAAAGTGCTGTGTTTCTGTAATCACTGCGATATGGGACATTTTTTATGTAAATATATCAGAAGTTGCAGAATGATTTTTTCCTGAAGATTATCATGGGATTGTCATATTTATAATGTTATTTTTGGACTTTTACAGTCAACATGGCTATGTGAGTATGCGAGTTAGCATTTTCTTTTCTCCTTCTGAAATCATGAAAGGTGGCAAGGAGAATTGGAAGGAGGGGTTGAAAAATTCCTTTTCCAGAGAAATTGGAGGCAGATGTAATTCACAGATTCTCCACGTATTTACAGCTTAGCAAAAGCAGCTGTGATTGAGCAGAACTAGTACGGGAAGAAGTGAGTAGATGTGCTCATGTTGGCAGAAGGACTCAGCAGGGGCAGGTGGGCAGATCCGGAAGACGCCAGCAGATACATGTATTGTCCAAGAGAGACCTGGCCTGGACAGCAGAGCTGACAGATGCTAAATTCCTTGCTTACAAGTGAGGAGGTTACAGGGGAGAGGGCTGACCACAGAAGACTTCTGAGACCCAGCTAGACCCAGAAGTGGTCTGTGGGCCAACCCAGGAGCCATGCAGATGAGCTGTATGTGTGAAAGCCAGCTTTCCCCGCAGCGGCAGAGAGGGGCAGCATTTGGGCTCAGCAGGCTCAGGAGGCTGAGCAGCCTCCTTCAGAATAGGTGCTCTTGGAAATCGTCCCTCACTCAGAAATAAGTATTAACAGAAGGCACCTGACATAGCGTCAAGTTTACCAAGGAAAAGGTGGGAAGGAGCAACCAACCCACGGCTGCTGAGCACCAGGAAATGTCAGGGAGGCAGGATGTGGGGAGTGGGGCAGAAACCAGGGGCTGTGGATGCAGATCCCAGGGCAGGAATGCTGGGGACCAGGGGCGATGGTTTGTGCCTGCCTTCAAGGCAGCAGGGGACAGCCCTGAGAACAGAGCAGAGAACCATCGTGAAAACAAGGGGGGCTGGAAGGAGACTTGGAGAAGGCAGGTACTGGAAACACAAGAAGGGACAGAGGCTGTAGAAGTGAGAAGAGACTCATCAAAACCCAACACTAAGAGTGAGTTTAAAGAAAATTACAGCTGCAGAGGACAGACAGTAAGAGAATATCCAGCATATCCATGACTGGAATCTTCGAAGAAGAAAGCAAAACGATGGGACCAAACAAATATTTAAAGATAACAGCCATGAAAACTTTCCTGAGGAGAAAATAGCCTTGAACCTACATTTTGAAAGGGCAAACTGTGTGCTGGGGAAACTGACCTAGATCGGTCAGTGTGTCACATCCTGCAAAGTTCTTACTCACCCAAGATGAAGTGACAAACACACAGTCTTACAAGGAGTGGAAATCAGAGCGGCCACTCTTTTCTCCTCTTGTCCTGACACTGTATGGTGATAATCACTGTGGTTGTGTGTCCATATCAAATGGATTTGTGCTTAGCCTGTTTCCTCTTTCTTTTAAGCTGTTGCAGCTAATTGCAAAATCCCAGTTAACATCATTGAGTGGTGTCGCACAAAAGAATTACTTCAACATTTTGGATAAAATCGTTCAGAAGGGTAAGATGGTGACTGATATTTTTAACAACCTAAATCTTAATGAGAAATTTAGTGCAAGGAGATGAGATTTTTAGAAAATGTTTCCCCAGTATGTATGTTGTCAAAAACAATAATGTCAAAGAATGTGATAGTATGGAGACAGTAATATAAGTTGGTCCCTCCAATTCTTAATGTTGTGTTACTGTTGTTTACATTTTTTAAGTTGCTTTTGCATACAAAGGAATGTGTTATAATAAGAAAGATAATTAATCTCTGAGTTTTAAAAAGATATTCTACCTTTTCATGGTTAGTCATTCCCAGTCACGTCAGCTATATAGTTGTTTCCATAATTGGCAGGCTGTGACTTAGTCACTCAGGTGTCAAACAAGCCTATAATTTTCTTTTTAATTTAATGGTTGTCTTGATTAATTAGTGGCTAATAATAAATGGAACTTTAAATTTCACACCATGAGTTTATGCGTGATATGAATTTTACTATATGTATAAACCATTTTTAAATATCAATTCTCTTTATGATAAGTATAAAAGAAAATAGAGACTGATAATTTTAAAGGCAAAATTGTAGACTCAACTGAAAATACGCTATCGGGCAATATTTTAAAGTTTTTTTAATCTCATCATACTTGTGATAGCTCAGAAATGATGCCACTTTGGGGTTGCAGTGAAATTAGTCATTGTTTTTTATGGTGTTAAAATACACAACATAAAATTTACTGTTTTAACCATTTTTAAGTGTACAGTTCTGTGGCATAAAATACATTCACACTGTTGTACACCCATCACCCCCATCCATGTCCAGAACTTTTCCATCTTCCCAAACTGAAACTCTATCCCCAGTCAATACTCCACATTCCCTCCCCCAGCTCCTGGCACCCACCATCTACCTCCTGTCTCGGATTTGACTCCTCTAGGTCCCTCATACAAGTGGAATCTACAGTATTTGTCCTTTTGTGGTGGCTTATTTCACTTAGCATAGCGTCCTCGGGGTTCATCCATGTTGTAGCATATCAAAATTTCCTTCCTTTTTAAGGCTGAATAATATTCCATCATGTGTACCATACATGCCACACTTTGTTGATTTGTGTTTGTCGATAGACTCTGGGGCAGTGAAACGAGATCGTTTTTCACAGTGGCGGTGAACTGTATCAATCTGTAGTTTTGTTTTTGTTTATTCCAGTTCTTGATGACCACCAAAATCCTCGCCTAATCAAAAATCTTCTCCAAGACCTGAGCTCTACCCTGTGCATTCTGATTAGAGGAGAAGGGAAGTCCGTATTGGTGGGAAATATAAATATCTGGATTTGCCGACTAGAAACTATTCTCACCTGGCAACAGCAGTTACAGAATCTTCAGATGACCAAGGTATGAATTTCTGGGCCTAAAAATGATTACTCTGTTTTTATATTACAGAAGTCATTAACTCTTCTAAGTGTACGTGAAAGAGTCTTAACAGCTTTTTGAAAGACTTTTTTTCTTTACCTTTTCATAAGTATTCCTTCAATTGTTTTAAGATGTGTTAGGATCAAAAGACCTTGTAATGGCTTACAGACAGTGGGAACAGTAATCATTAAGAAAGAGCTGATCATGTGGGTGATGAAGTGGTGAGTTAATTTACCTCTCAAGGAAATTGTGTTTCCGGCTGAAACAACGTTCAGTGAATTAAGGCTTTTGTGTTGCCAGCAGCTCTCCACCGTGCAGGGTTGGGGCTGCTTCTCCTCTTGCGTGCTGTCTTCTGTGTGTGTTGTGTGTACTGTGTATTGATGGTTCTTTGACAAAGTGAACATGGGGAAAAGAAGGTGCAAATCATGTCACTCGCTCTGATGTTTTTTGTTTATTCTGATAACTAGTTCCAACAAGAAAATGTTAACACCATGGACTACAGGAAGTGTCTTAGGTGTGTTTTATTTATCTCTTGTACTCTGTAAGAGAAAGAACAGATGGGATACGCATCTCTGTGGCCTGAGGGATAAACCATTCCACAGATTCACTGCTGTAGAGGCTCATCACTGCCCCAGGCTCCACAGGAACGCCGTCATTTTCAGAAGTGTATTTGCCATCTAAATATGAGACTTACATGATAAGGACGGATTCCCTGATGTGGATCTGAAGCTGAAGTGAATACATGAACATTCAGTGTCATAAGAGCTAAGCAGACTCGATGGAAGCATGCCTCGGATGTGACCCCACTGTGCTCCAGGCTCTCTGTGGTCCAGCTCTGCCCACCTGTCTCACCTCATTCCCACGGGTAAGGGGCTGTGTTATCAGGGTCTGTCTGTAAGACACACAGCATGGTTTGCTGTGGAGCCTTGACGTAAGGGCTCCAGGCCTGTTTGTCCCTCGTGCAGCCACCTCATGAGGCAGCACCACCTCAGCTAGTGAACTCTGGGAACTGCAGTCTGTGGTGGTCAGCAGTGGGGTTCAGTGCTCAGGACCCCTGAGGAAGGGGATGCTTGGCTGGGAAGTTCCAGCAGGGCCAGCTGCTGGACATCACTCAGAGAGAAATGTGGGTGAAGGACAGCCTTAGCCCAGTCAGGAGGGCCCATGCCTGTCACTGCGGGAGAGGAGGGAGGAGGCCAGGGAAATCCTTCATCCTCTCCCTGGTGGGCTGGCAGAGCAGGCAGGCATTGGTATGTCATCACCCTCCTTTCAGATTTTCCTTTCCCCTGACACTGACTTGGAAGAGCGGCAGAGAGAGGTGTGATGGGAACTGTGTGCGCCCAGCTGCCCTGCCAGGGTGGCCGAGAGCCACACTAAGGAGACAGTGCACACCCCAACCCTGGTGCTCGAGGTCAGTGCTCTGCCTCAGCTAGAGACGCCTCGTGTCACATGCTGTCACTTCAATCAAGTGGGAGAAACAAGGCGCAGAAACGAAAGTAAGGATATCCTTGAACCGAGGTAAAGAAAGCACAGATGACAGTGCAGAGCACAGGTTATGTCCTGTCTGGACCTGGAGGCAACCCCTGCCCTGGCGGCTGGGTGCTGGCATCTTCCAGTGACTCCCTCAGCCCCTCTCAGACCCCTTCCATGTGCTCAGCATTGGGCAGGCAGTGGGCCTCTGTGGTGAGCTGGGTGTTCCGCCCCGTGCGGCTCAGCAGCAACAGTGCAAGTCGGTCAGCCCCACCTTCCTCGGAGGGTTGTTGGGACACAGCATCCAGTAACGCGGCTGCGTTTGTAGGTGTCGGATGCATCAGCCACACTGGGCTGAGGTGCCTCTGGCTGGTGGCAAGTTGCTGCCTGGTGTTGATTCACAGCCCATTTTAAGGGGACACGAGTGGTGGGAGGGTAGGGGAGGAACCGCCCAGAGCTCCCAGCTCGCCAACAGCAGAAGCCAAGAGACTGAGTGGCGTTGAGATCAGCTCAGCCTCATGGGACGCAGTTGCCAGTTTGCTGTGTGAGCCAGCGCTTGCCTTTCTTCTGCATTTTCCTGACAAAAGACAGCTTGATACTCTGAGAAATAAGTAGAAGGCTCACATAGTGTTGAAAGGTTTCCAAGAACATCTGAAAGGCTGCTTGTCATCTTGTTCTGTCACTTGATTGACTCTGAGACTGACGGATTCACTCACACCCGGGGGTGACTTTCTTACATGCTTCTGGGAAGTAAAATCCGTCACTGCCCATTAGGAAGGCTCCACCGCCTGATAGAGTGACCAGGTGGAACGGCAGACAGAAGCTGTCTGTCGCATCAAGCTTCTACCTTCTCTTTTTAAAACATTTCTTCTGAAAATAGATGACCGTTTTCCTTTAATTTCTTGGTGGCTTATTAGAAATAAAATTATGATTTACTGTGTGCCATCAGACTGCTGGGTTTAAAATAGCTTTAAGCTGTACATGAAAGTTAGACTCCGCTTGTCTTCTGTGGCATCAGGGATGTCTTGGTCATGCAAGGAGGCTGCGCAGCTTTCTCCTGTGACCGACTGGCGTCACCCTGTGAACCTGGTGGTTCCTGAAGTTGCAGGTCATCAGCGTTCCTTCCCATCAAGAGTCTCTGCAGTGAAGAGACCGAAGAACGACCTCACATCCGGTCAGAAGTGCACAGGGTGTGGCCGCAGGGGGCGGAGCAACGACAGCAGAAGGTAGAAGCAGATAATTTTGTGTCGACGTCTCCAAGGATCTTCGTAGAGTCTTCTGGCTGGATTAAGCAGCCTCATTTTTATGACTTAATCTTATAAAAAGACTGGTTTTTAATCCAAAACAAGTGCCAGTGCTTCACTGAGCCGTGGGGGCCCTGGCACATGGGTGCCGGTGGGCAGCTCAGGAACAGCCCAGCAGCCCCGGTGTGGGAGGTCATGGCCATGGCAGGTGGTGAGTCTCGGCCTGCTGTGTGTCGTTGAGATCTCATCTCGTGAGCAGTGTGCGCCTGGAAAAGACACCACAGACCTCTGCTCTGCTCCTCAGACAGATGTGCTGTGCTTTCTGAGCTGCACTTGAAGGCTCGGTGGTGCTGGTGAAGCTGAAGTGCTGTCATGTTTACATCTTCTGGTCTCTTCTTGGTGACCCTACCTGTGACCTCCCTCAGTAAGCACTTACTAGACACCTGCTGTATGCCAGGACCATCATGGGGTGGGGGCATGGCAGCCAGTAGACATGGCTTTAGTCCAGGGCCTGCGTGCCTGGGGAGTTGTTCGTGGAACACACCCTGGTGATCAGTGGGGGTTGGTATACAGCAGACACCCACACAGAGCGTCATTTCATGAAGGCCACCAGCTTGTGGGGTGCTTAAAGAGTAGAAATTATCCAGGTGGTGCTGTGCTGGTCAGTGCTCAACAGCTGGCTTTCAGGGGCAAAAGCCCTGTTGGTAGCATTTGTCAGTTTGTCACCTGGCTGATTTCAGGCCACCAGCAAGTCACCTGGCTCACAGAATTCCTGAAAGTTGCAGAATTGATTTCCTCAAGCCAGTATGGCTCGGCTCCAGCACACCACTGCGAAACCAGGGGCCACAGGGGCCTTCGGGCAAAGAGCTGCACGGCCAGAGGCGTGGGAGCCTGCGTTCAGGGGCAGTCACAGGTGCTCCAGGTGCCCAAGGTGCTTGGAAGAAGGCGTGAGAGATGAGGCACGGGAGAACTCAAGGCCAGATCGTAGGGTAGACTGCAGCCTCTGGGTGTGCGTGAGGGAGTCTTGGCTGTTTCCAGTGCGAGGACATCGAGATGTCTGCGTTTGAGGGAGCCCCTCTGGTACCAGCAAGGGGCTGAACCTGGGGGAAGCAGACCCCATGACATCGTACAGCTCAATGGTGGTGAGCACTCCCTGAGGAAGTGACAGGTACGACGTAGGAGATGCATCAGGGAAAGACTGGGCTGTGTGTGGTGCCTTCCTCCAAGTGGGCATGAGGGGAGGAACAGGGGTGGCCTCCGTGGTGGGGTGGGCGCACCGCAGAGGAGGCTGAGCAGAGGGGCAGGCGCAAGCCGGGCAGTCTACTTCCTGTCACCGGTTCTCACGTGGAGCTGTGACCTCAACCCATGGGGTTCAAGCAGAGATGATTCAAGTTTCTCTTGGCCAGCGTGCTTCCACAGGGAGCGGGAGTCCCCTCTCTGGATGCAGGAAGTGAGATGGCCCAGAGCAGGAGAGGGGAGCCTCTGTCCCTGTGCATGTCCATGTTGTCACGAGTCCACAATGGTGACACGCTTAGCTCACCAGGAGCAGCTGAGCTAAAATGCAGTGTGGTCCAACATAGAAGACTTTGCTGCCACTTCACATTCGAATGGAAGATAGCGTTTAGATGAAAAATATTGGCATTTCTGTTGTCCTCGCTTGTTTATAGTCATAACAGGGCTGTAAATCTGGACCCTTCCAGAAAACCAGATGCCAAGTTTTCACACTGCAATCTGTAATGCTTCGCCCATCCAGGATTTGTTTCAGCCACATCGTACCACCTGAGCCCTGCCATATCAGCAGCAGATAGTATGACATCCTGTCTGACACAGAACTTTCAGGAGAATGAAGCCCCTGTTCAGAACAAGACTCAATTCATGTACTCGTGTTAAGACTAGTAGTTGGGGATAGACTCACACATATGATCTTTCATATTACACTGCCACGTGTAGACAGTAGGAAGGGGAGGACTGGCTGAATCTCGACTCAGCCGTGCTTAGTCCGTGGTGACTTGTCATCTGTTTGTGCCTCAGAGGACATCTGGTTGCCGCGGGCACCCGTCCCGTCCTGGGGCACAGGGGCCGCCCGAGCAAGGTTCCCATCCGGGTGGTAGCAGAGGCACCTTGTGTGATGGCGTGAAAGTGAAGCGACACACGTGACGGACACCACGCGGTTCCGTCCAGGGCGTTAGGCTGTCCTGTGGACTGGAGCGCAGAGGCCCGTGGTGCCCAGCAGCAGCGGATGCCCGCACGTGGGGTTGGGGTGGCTCGGCAGCGTCCTGCCTCGAGTCGCCCGTGCGGAAGGATGCCCATCGAGGGCCTCCGGCTGGAGTATTTCTGAGCACCGGGAGCCATTCCCAGCTGCGCGGCGGCGGGACGAGGAGGGAGGGACGGAGAAGGGCCTCTCACCACGCCCTCCACGGACGGCAGGTGGTTCCTGGGACCAGACTCGGGGAATTAGTTCATCCGTTGCATGCTGGGTACTGGGGTCGTGGGAGGCAGCCGGCCGGCCGCGGGGGTGACCAGCGGCAGACAGAAGCCGTTCCCCCACCCAGCAGGAGCGGGCTGCGGCTCCAGCGGGCGTCCGTGCACGGACGTCAGACCCTCCCTCCGCCAGAACGTCCCGCCCAGCCGGTTAGCCCGTGTGTCCCTCCGTTGGAGGCACTGCTGGTGCGAGTCTGCGATGCGCTGGGGGACTGAGGGCTCACGGGGTGAGCACAGAGCGGGTCCGGGCTGGGATCCCAGGCCGCCTCCGGGCCACCACGGCACCAGCAGCCTTTCCTTGGACGTGCCTGTGCGCTGCGGCGCCCACCCTGTCGGCCCCCAGGGATGGACACGCCGCATCCACGCCGGCGGGTGCTGGGGAGGATGGACGGCACAGAGGTTCAGCCTCGGTGAGATGTCGCCCTCCCAACGCCGAGCCCAAAGCGCTGGACCTTCAACACACCCGCGCCCGCACTGTCCGGGCCTTGGGCCACGCCGGGCGCAGACGGGGCAGGCGTGCTGACGCCGGCCCCCGGGAGGCGCTCGCTCCGCTCCGCCATCGCGCGTTCTCAGGGCCCGCCGTGTTCCAGGCATGTCTTCTCAGTGTGGTCATCCTACAGGTCAGTGAGCCTCGCAGGAGTGCGGCGTCCTGGAGGAGCCGTCGGTTCTGCCCCTCTTTGCGCTGCGGCCATCACTGGACAGCCCCGCGCTGGCGGCCTGGCGCGGCCGGGGTCGTGGGTGCGGGCGCCCGGCCGTGCAGCGTGGGTGCAGCCCGGCTCGGGCTGCGTCTCCTTCGTGCGGCCACGGTTCGGAGCGTTTGTCCTCGCCTGGCCTCCCGGGCTCCGTGTGGCTCAGTGCAGCTGAGCCCCGGGCGTCGTGCGCTTGGTGAAACGCCTCCGTGTTCTCCTTCCAGCACGTGGACAGCGGCCTCACGCTCAGCGACCTTCCTCTGCACGTGCTGAGCAACATCCTGCACAGACTCTCGGACGGGTGGGACGTCGTCACTCTGGGCCAGGTGACCCCAGCGCTGTCCGCGCTCAGCGAAGACAGGCAGCTGTGGAGGAAGCTGTGCCTGTACCACTTTGCCGACAAGCAGGTGAGTGCGGGGCAGAGACCCCGGGCTCGTGGCGCTCTTGGCGCAGGCCGGCCTGCGTACTGTGCCTGCGTGCCCTTCAGGTACTTTTGTTTTTGGTGTACTTTTTAAAGAATTAAGAATAATCAGGACTAATAAAATCACTTATGGTTTCTCTTCTATAGCTTATAAGTTTATTTTTCATTTTCAAAAAAACACAGTGATTCTAAAAACAACCTAAAACAAAACAACAGAACAAGAGCTGAGTTCTTCTTCACCTCTGTCAATAGCAAGATGTTTCGAGGTTACTGGTTTATTGTCTTTTTTCCTTCACTTGGTGACTCAAATTCCAGTTCTGCCTTTTATGGTGCTGCATACCCTGTAAGCGTCATGTTCCTTCTAGTTTCGGTTATCAGTGGGCAGTGCACCGCTCCTCAGTGTCCACAGAACATGCTCCCCTCCCCGCATTCCTGTCCCATGGGAACCAGCACGCAGCAGTTCATGTGCATTTGCTGGGGGCCTTTTCCCAAGTAGTTTGCTTGTCCATTCTCCAGCGTTAAATCCTGTTGTGCTGTTTCTGGGCTGGGCTGACTCGTGCATTCGCTCCGGCATTGCACAGGCGTTTAGGGGTGTCTGCTGTGGGTAAGGTGGCATCAGCAAAGGCAGACATGGTCCTGCTGCCATGGAGTTCCTGTCAAGAGGGGAGACAGACGTTACACATGTCACCAGGTTCGTGTTTGTGAAGCAGCGTAGAAGCATGTGGCATTGCACACGCGAACGTTGTCCTCTCTGGGAGGACAGGGCCGGGTGGGGGGTTCCTCGAGAGCATTACTGTTTCGTAGGCCGTAAGCAGGTTCTAGGCCGACAGAACTCTGTATGTAGAGGCCCTGGAGGGAGGGGTGAGGCGAGCAGACGGAGACGGGCGGGCAGTAGCCCCAAGGCCTGAGAGACCACATCAGATCCGAGTCTGTCCCCAGCAGACCCAGAAAGGCACTCAAGTGTTGAAACAACGTGCAGTTGTAAACGGCTGTTCTTGTTCTTGTTTGGGGGATAGATGGGAGTGGGATTAGGGAGACCCACTGAGAGACATGCCGAGAAAGAAGGGGTGCTGGTGGGGAGGAGCAGACGAGGGAGAGAGAGACGCCGATGGACTGAATGCGGGTCGGCTGCAGGGGCAGGTGGGCAGGAGGTGCCCCAGCGGGTCTCTGCTGGCACAGGGTGGGTGGCAGTGCCTTCCCTGCAGAGGGAAGACCGGCTGGGGTGAGAGGAGGAGGTACAGCGGGATTCAGTGGGGTTTGAGTTGCCTTCCGGATATCTGAGGGAAACAAGTCGAGAGGGCAGGGAGTATTCTGAGGAAAGGTCTGAGCTGGACACATTGATTGAGAGGGACCAGCATAGAAGTGGTCTTTGGGCCTCGATGGACTCGCCTGGAGAGAAGGACTGGAAAGAGATGAGACCTGGAGAGCCTTGAGGAGCAGCTCCAGCAGCTGAGTCGAGGAGCATAGCCTGCAAAGGACACAGGGTCCCTGAGAGCCCCGGATGAGGTGCTCAGCTAAAGAGAACCCTAGGAAGAGCCCGTCGGCTGAGTCTGCAGAGGCTGCAGGTGACCCTGGGAAGCACTGTGTCAGGTGGACGTGCTGCGAGAAGCAGGCAAGTCAGGCTTAATTTGAACAGGGAAGAAAGCAGGCTGAATTCTGAAGTCAGCAGAGGCAGTGGGGTGTTGAAGATTTTAGAGGGAAGTGGGGGTGAAGGGTGGAGACGGCAAGGGGAGCTGAGGCCCGCTGGGCGGCGGGAGGCCCGGGTGTGCTGGCTGGCATGCACCATAGCTGGCTGCTGCTCCTGGTGCTCCCACCTCCCTCGCCGAGTGCAGGCCCCAGTTGTTTACCAGGGTGCTAATCGGAGTGCCTGACAGGCACTTCAGACTCTCTGTTGACCATTGTGAGACCCTTGCTTTTCCTCAGAGAAACCACTTTAAAGAAGTTGTGTCTTCTGCATCTGTGTTTAATGTCATATGGTCAGAATTAGCAATTAGCTCTTACAGATGCATCTCGCACATATTTTGTTGACCACATATAAAAACACAGCATCCAAAAAAATTTGGTAACTAATGGTAAACAATGCTAAAAAAGACACACATAGTAGAAATAACTATGAAAATGGTGGAGGTGAGGCAGCTTCCACCAGGTGAAACTGAGTGAGTGTGCAGGGTGGACTGACGGCTCATCTGAGGTCACGCTGTGAGGACCTGAGCACGTGGTATGGATGTTGGGTTTGAGTTCTGGAAAGTCATGGTTGGTTGTTGAGGAGAAAACAGTGGGGATCCACAAACACCGGCACGGCACAGGGCCATGAGAAGCAGGGAGACAAGTGGTTTCCTCTCTAGGAAGTGAGTTTCCAACAGTGCTGGGAAGATACGGAAATTAGTATAACCTGGCCATTAACTACTTTTCTCTATTTTCCAAGCTGTTCTCTGCAAATGCTGTTAGAAACAAGAATTTTCTTACTGTCGCCATCATAACGTCAAAACAATGTCCTCAGAAGTCGTGACTGAAGTGTGTGCATGTCATCCGAGTGGTTATTTTCATTACGAAAAGTGGAACATGCTCGCTGCAGTGGCAGTTGCAGAGATGAGGCAGCGTCTGAAAGTGGAGGCTCCTCCCCAGGGTCGTCGACTTCAGCCTGTTGGTAGGCTCCTCCACAGACACAGGCAGCGTGTGCCTAGCTGTGCACTGTTATTTTCCCATAACTGAAATCATGTCACTCCGTAATGTTTTTTCACACCTTTATTAAGATACCATATACACGACAGTTAATTTTAGGACATTTTCATCACCTCAGAAAGAAGCCACACCCTGTACCTCTCAGCCTAGCCCTACACAATCCCTGATCTACCTCAGTCTCCCTAGATGTTCCTGCATGGATGTTTCCCCTAAGTGGAGTCATTGTATCTGGACCTCGTGTGATGGCTTCTTTCCCGTAGCACATCGACCTCAAGACTCACGCTGAAGCAGTGTCAGTGCTCCAGGCCTTTCTGTGGCTCCTTAACGTCCCATCCACGCACAGATCGCATCTTGTCTGTCTGTTCATCAGCTCATGGACACTGGGGTTGTTTCCCCCTTGTGGCTGTTCAGAATCATACTGCTCTGAGCAGTGGTGAACACCATCATGTGGACATTTGTCGTAGGAGTGGAAATTCTGGGTCAAATGGTAACTGAAGGGTTAAATTTTTGAGGAACTGCTACACTATTTTCCAAAGCAGCTGCACCATTTTCTATCCCCACCAGCAGTGTATGTGGGTTCCTATTTCTGCACGTGCTTGTCTACACTTCTTACCTGATTTTTTGATTACAGCTGTCCCAGTCTGTGAAGTGGTCTCTCATTCCCTTTCCTTGATGACTGAGATGTTGAGCCTCTTTTCACGTGCTTACTGGCCATGTATATCTTTGGAGAAACATCTTTTCCGATCCTTTGCCCATTTTTTAATTGGGTTGTCTTTTTATTACTGAGTCATAGGTGTTCTTTATTCTTGGTACAAGTCCCTCATCAGATATATAATGTGTGTGACATATCTTTAACTTAATAATATATCATGGACATCATTTCAGATCAGAACATGTAAATCTGTTTAACAGCTGCATGGCATTCCATGTTTATTTGATTCAAATAATTGAATGTTTCATGCACTATAGTTTCTTTTAAAATCACTTTGCACCTAGTCCTATGCTGTGAGAACCATCGGCTGATTCTGAACAGAACTTGTTTGTGTCTAGTTTTGTAGACACTTGGTCCTTTCAGAAGAAGGTCACGTCGAGTGGAAGTTGACGTACTTTGCCCTGCAGAAGTATTACCCAACCAGGGAGCAGTATGGGGACACTCTGCATTTCTGTCGGCACTGCAGCATCCTCTTTTGGAAGGTAATAATTTCAACACATTCTTGAAATTTGGGGATTAAAACTTGGTGAAACAAATTATGTGCCTTTATTTTAATTGTAATGGTAAAAGAAAATGGGAAATTCTCTTTGTGATAAGAAAGATAATGAGATATACTTCAGCAAATATGGGGCAGGGGAATAGGTTCATAAAAGTAAAATGTACAACTTGTGGTTTGAATCAGAAATGTTGAAAACTGAGATGTCTGGCCACCTCTTCTCCCCTCAGATGACTCAGTTTCTCCCTTTTATAGGCCTTGGCACATGAGGCAAGAGTGTCTGGTGGGCCCTGGGCCGAGTGTGGGGCAGCACTGCCTCCCTGCGGCCAGCGGCCTTTCCTGGCAGGAGCTCTGGAGCGCCCTGCCTGCCCCAAGCTGGGGGGAAGGGGTTAAGATTCCCCAGCTCCATCAACCTGAGGAGGAGCCCCTGCTGCTTCCCCCAGGCCCATAGCCAGAGCGTCCCCTGGAGCGGCTGTCAGGGCAGCCCCTACGCCCCGAAACAGCCTCTCCCGGAGGCCCTCCTCTCAGAGCAGTTCTTGGAGCAGAGGTCCACAGAGGTCCCAGACTGTCAGGTGAACGTGCGGTCTCCTCATTCGTGGGACCAGAACTGACAAGGTTTCCTCCTTACCTGCGAGTCCATCCCTGCGGGGAAAACCTGAACTTGGGAGCATCGTCTCCAGCAGTTTCAGGATCAGAGTGAATTAGGCTCCGTCCTCTTGTTCCCGTCCCGTCATTTGCTGTACTTCTCACTTTGTAGACTGTGTTGGATGCAAGTGGCTTTTCTGCAGCCAGGGGTCTGTACTCCTCCTTGTGGGTAGTTTTATTTTCTTAACATGCTGATGTTGTTGGCCCGGGATGCATGATCCGTGATTTCCCCTGAGTCTGAATATGTATAACTGTGAGATTTCACAGGGGGAAGAAAAGTGGCACAACTGGTGGGCTGGCCGCGAGTGTGACTGTGTCCTGGACTCACTGCGGCCCTGCTTCTCGGCCCTCGCTCAAGCCTGGGCCCGGGACCTCCTACCGCCTTTGGGGTTAGGGCCATCCAGCTTCTGCCTGGGAAGCAACGCACCTGCTCATTTCTCTTGCTTTACCTCTACTGGTAATCTGTTGGATGGATAACACAGCAAACTAGACTGTTGGAAAAGAGACCACTTTAAACTTTAGTCATTTCACATTACGTTTACGGTAGTGTGGCTTCTTTTTTTAAATTCTGATCCATGGCTGAGCAGTGAATGTATAAGACATTGAGAGTGGTTCCTGCGTTGCTGTGACAGGACTTTGTTTACCAAGTCAAAAGTGAGCAGCAGCATGAGTAACTCCCGGTGCCTCCACATGTGAATAGCATGAAACTTTGTTACTTCTAATTGACTGTCCTGTGTTTTAGTATGACTTCCTTCTTGATATTAAAGAGAAAATATGTCCTGTGTTGTGCGGTAGTTGAGTTGCTGTGTAGAGCACTGTTCGACGAGAGCAGGGGACACATTGTTCTCGCTGTGGCACTCAGCACGCACTGCGAGGCACTTGGTCATTGTCTGGTGAGCGAATGAATCAGTAGGTCAGTCAGTCTGTCAGTGATGGATTACAGGCACACAGGAGGGAGCCACCCTTTTGCTCCCTTGTTCCAGCCGCAGGGCACAGACACTCAGGTAGGTGCTGGTAGATGGAGAAGGCAGCTGAGTGTGTGGGGCCTCGGGGTTGCGCCCTGATGGGACCTGCTCCTCTGAGAATTGCCAGCACTTGCTAGAAACATGTGAGGCTGTGTCTTCAGTGGTGTACTAGGGGTGGATGAAATGCTCTAGATTTCTCTTCGAATTGATGCTTCTCCCAAGAGTTCTCTGCTTTTCTCCTGAGCAGACTATTTTATTCTAGAGAAATATTACAAGCAGTGACGTTTTTCTGGGGAAAATACTATTCGTGGGATAAAAGTCTTTCAGTCTTCTGTGATAGACATTTTTCTAAGAACAATATTGGAGAATATTGGAGCCCTCCCTGTCTCTTGAGTAGTTTACAAGCAAACAAATACTCTCCTAGCGCGTGTGCTGTTAGGCAGGGTAAAAAGATGCTGCCCACATATCCTGAAGTATAGAAGTTCTGATTTTTTAAAACTCGAGAGGTGATTTTTAGCTTTCCAGAAGAATTTGCCTGTGAATTCTTACATTTAGCAAGCCTTCCTATCATACTTAATCATGTTATGAAAATCAGAACAGTCTTTCCTAGTAAAGATGCTGCTTCTTCCCGTTCTTGAAATATCCTGATGTCGCTCCTGGGGGCAGTCGGAGCCAGCTCCAGGCAGCTGCAGCCCTGAGGACTGGCCTCAGTTCCCGCGGCTGTGTCGCAGCTTTCTGCCGCACGTCATTCCAGAAGACGTGGGTTACACTCAGCTCTGATTTCTGAATCTGCACGTGAAAGTGTAAAAAAGGACCAATCTCTGGCCTTTCTGACAGAGCCTGTTTCCTGAGTCAGCTCCTGAGAGGGCTGGTTCTTCCTGCTCAGCCTCTCGTCTGCTCTGCCGCGTTCAGCCGCTCAACAGTCCAGAGACCGAGTTGGATCCGCCTCCTGGCTTGGCCCAGCTGTCCTGAGGCCACACAAAGTGACCAGTCTCGCTGAGCCTCGTTTTCATGATAAAACCTGCCACACAGGGGGTGTGAGGGTGGAACAGCACTGTGCCTGCGCATAGTTGGAGCTATGAGAACGGTGCCCATGGCATCACTCATTTTCTTTAGCAGCCCAGTAAGTATTTTGTGCTGACCAAGAACTGAGGTAACATCAACCCTTCAAGAGAACAGAGCTGGGGGGATGCTGGTGACTGAATCGTGCCTGGGCCTCAGACGCAGGTGGGAGCCAGCGGTGCACCCGTCTCTGTTTTGTATCAGGTATTTTCCCATTTTCCATGTAAATCTGGAGCTCTCTGACAGGCAGCTGCCATGCAGCCGCCTCTGCTGCCAGATGTTTTCCCTCTGTTAAAGTGCGGTTTAGCCATGCTGAGTTGGGCTCCCATTTTTCCACCTGCCTTAGTGAGAAACCTCCAAAGTGATAGGAGGGATAACATTTCTGTCTTTAGTACCTGTACAGCAGGGTCTCTGTGGCCATTCAGCTGGTTCATCTCTGCCACCAGACACCGCCTGGCTTGAGGTCTGACTTCATTGGCCCTCAGAAGCCCCAGGGTCACTCAGGAGGTCTGGGGTGGGAGGGACAGTTGCCATGTGGTCAAGAACAGCTGTTGTAGTCCCTACTCCTGCCTCTTCTCCATCTGAATTTCTGTGCTTCTCAGCTTTGCAAAACTTGAGTTAAAACTGGGCGTGTCAGGTGGTTGGGAAGCCAGACAAGAATGAGTGCAGTGGAAGGCAGGAGCAGGAGTCGGGACTCTGTCACTTTTTTGTCTCAGTGTGTCCGCTGCCAGAAGCTTGTGCAGATCCCCAGTGTCCACACTGCAGGTCTGCCGCAGTCGTCAGGAGCAGAGTCGTAGCTAGAATCTGAGACGAGGGGGTGACTCCCAGATGCAGAGTCCACTAGTCTGGGTCATGCTGTGGCACCGTTTCCCCTTGACCAGCACTGACTGGCCGGCCCAGATCTCTGGTGTGGGTAAGGGCGAGGGCGCAGGGAGGCAGCGAGCAGTGCTGGTTCTCGTTCCTCTTCACTCAGCGGACGGCCAGGACGGCGTGTGTGAAGGCAGCAGGCTGTTGCCCATCTTGCACTGACAAACCACAAATAGGCAGAAAGGAGTACCGAAGATGGAGCTCGTTCACTAGCTCTTGGGCTACGTAGAATCTGGGTGACGCCCATCACTCTGCACAGAGTAGACTAGACTCTCAGACATGAAAAAGCAATAAGTCACTTTCCAAGGAATCTGTTGCACGCTTTTTCAGTGTAAACTAAACATGGAAATATCAGCATCGCTTTACATTTTTTTCAGTGAACAGTTTTGAAGATGATTTAGCCCTGCAGCCTCATCATTGTCAGTCTGAGAGACTTACAAGGAAATGGAAATGTTTGTCACTGTCTTACTGATTCAGGTTGTATGGATCTTTGGGGTATCTGATGGTGCCTTGTATGCTTACTTTAATATTTTTATTGCCCACATTTAGTACCTGATGATTTCAGTTATTTTCATAAACAGCATGCCTCAAACCTAAGTGCCTGGACACAATCTGGCTCTTCCTAATCTTGACCTTTTCTCTTTTTCCCCCCTTCACTGCACTCCCTCCTGACTCTTTCTTCACCATCTCGAAGGACTGCCGCCTCGCTTTGTTATTCAAGGTAGCTCCATGTTTTCCCATGCATGCACGCGTACACCGAGGCCTGATGGTGTGTCTGCAGTGTCTGTGTAGCCCCCTCCACTACCCAGGGGACCAGCTTCGTTAGCCCACAGCCTTTGCTGCCCCAGACACACAGCATTTGTGTGTGACCAGCGGCCAGAACTGCCACTCTTTCTTGCTTATTCCAACCTCCACCAAAGGGTTTTCATGAACTGTCTTGTAGACCAGCACTGAGTGACAAACACTCAGCCCTGAGGGGAGCTTGTCAGCTTGTATGTAAGAATTTCACTCAGATAAAGGGCACCGCATGGCTCTTAGGGTGGTCCATCGTCAGCCAGCAGCCACTCTCAGAGCATGCACTGGCCTAGCGTGGCTTCTGACTCCCTCTGCCCTGTATTCTTTAGGGTCCTTGTTCTCTTCAGAGCTTGCCAGTCTTCTTAGACAACACCTATTTTCCTTTCATCATTTTTCCTATTTAACACAATTCTGGGTCTTCAGTTGAGCGTGAGCTCCCAGCTCCCTCCCACTGCAGCAGCCACATGGGCCGTTGGGGTGCTGCTTCCAGCAGGTGGTGGTGCCCATCACGCAGCATCAGGGGATAGCTGATGGGTAGCGGGGAATCTGACCCCCAGCATAGGCCACAACCGGGAGAGGGACACAGCAGGAATTTGAGAATGTGGTTTCAGAATATTCCCAGTGGGAAGCGAGCACACCAGGACCAGGGAGGCAGAAAAGTCCAGGCTTCTGTTCCTCTGACTCAGGACTGGGCACAGCTTCCAGGGACCAGCTCTGGGCCACCTGTCTCTCCATCTCCTTGAGCAGAAATTCCAACAGAATCTCTCCTAAAAAACTGCCCTGCTTGCCTGTGTTTCATCCTTTTCATCCGTTATTTTCCACTTTGCAGTGGGGTCCGGGGTTCGTTTAAACAAACGGCTGGTGGCTGATCTGTGATAATGCCTCTCCCCTCCTCCTGCAGGACTCAGGACACCCCTGCACGGCTGCCAACCCTGACAGCTGCTTCATGCCCGTGTCTCCACAGCACTTCATCGATCTCTTCAAGTTTTAAAGGACCCTCACCCTACTGCGTCGCTGTCAAAGGTGGTACACTGTGTGTTTGTGCAATAGCTGGTAGTGTTTTTTTTGTGACTATAAGTGATGACTGGGATGGTGACTGGAGGCCTCCTGGGAGGCCTGTGTTCGCTGGAAAGAACTAGAAGGGACATAAAGGCTTTTCTTGGCGTAGGAATGCACTGTTGCATATTTTCATTTTTGAAAGGGGGTCAGGGAACCCAAGCAAAATCATTTCTACTTACTTCTTTAAGAAATTCCTTTCTTCTAAGCATATAAAATTTGCAACTTTGCATATTTCTAAATGTGGTTCAGAAAAGATTCTGGATTTTCAGCACCACATTCTGTGCTCAACTGACACTAACAGCCAATAATATGCTTCTTAATTGTCAAATGATAGTTTCTTGATTTTGTAGTAATTGGGGCTGGGGACAGAACAATTGATCCTTGTAAATACATTGTGCAGAATATTTATTTTTCTTAACATGTATTTTAACTGCATCCGTTGTGTCCAGATGAATCCTCTTTGAATGCAAAATGAACCTAGGGAAATATCTGCATCTCCAATCTGGTGTCTAGCAATTGGGTTGTAAATTGTGCAAAACGTTTGTGACCAACAGAGGTGTTTGTTAGTGGTGTGGCTGCGGTCCTGGGGGCTCGAGGACACTGGCGGGCAGGGAGCCCTGCTCTGCCAGGCCTGTTCTCACCTGAGCTGTGGGGGGACCAGACAACCATGGAGCATTTGCCACGACCAAGTCAGGGCCAGCCCCTGTGGCCTGAACTCGACTGTACTGAAACTACTTTTATAGACAATAAACCATGTTTATTTGCTGATTTAACTTCGTCAGTTTTGCATCTTACTGAAAAGAGTAGCTTTCGTGATTTTGATATTTATTTAAACCCTTAAAAGATTTATTTTTAAATAATGCATGTGCATTGTAGAAAATTTTGAAAATAAAGGTGTATAAAAGAAAATGAACATCACCCATAACCCAACCCCAAAGATGACTGTGCCAGAAAGGGAACACTTGCCCCCAGCAGCTACAGGGGAGAAACGCATTGTGTCTATTTTCATTTTTGAATAGGATCAGAGGACCAAACAAAATCATTTCTACTGCCTCCTTTAATTTTTTTTCCTCTAAGCATATTAAAGTTTGCGGTTTTGCATATTTGTAAATAAAGATTCTGGATTTTTCAGCACACATTCTGTGCTAAACTGACCCTAACTGCCAAGAATATGCTTCTTAATTTCAAATGGTAGTTTCCCTCCAGGCATGTGTTGGAGTAGAAGCTTTCATAAAACCATAAGCAGCCTGTACACCACTTTCATTCTATAACCAGCCTTTTGCTCAAAAGCACTTGTGAAGACATGGTTTTGTTGGCTGCATAGTATCAACAGATGGAACAGTCTTTACATCGTGACATCAGGTCATTTCTGACTTTGGCTGTTAACATAAGTAACTGTGCATCTGATCATCTCAAGATAAACGAGAAGTAGAACCAAGGGAATGAGTCAGATATTTGAAGGCTATTTCCAGACTGCTCATGAGAACAGAAATTGTGAGAATCCTTCTAAGAGATGGAGTCCGTTGAGGCCACATTCCCCAAGGACAGATATCGTCGTTTCTTTTCTGTTGGTGCTGTTTTAATATGTGAGGTTGGACATTTCTTCTGTGTATTTATTGGCCGTTGGTTTCTGTTTTTGTTATGTTTTTTAGATTACCTAATGTGTGTTTGCCTGTTTTACTTTTGGGATGTTGGTCTTTTCTGTATTAATTTCTTCTTGAGAGGACATTAACCTCTTGTTGCAGCTCTTTTCCCCAAATAACAATATGAATAGTGTAGGGAGAAGGGTCCAGCATTCCACTGTGTTAGCACATATCGCAGGCACCAGACACGCTCAGACCCAAAACTGCAAATGTGTGTTGACAAAACCTACTGCAGGTGCGCAAGGCACATGGTGCTGGGTGCGGGGAGGTGAGCGATGCCAAGGAGACTGGAGAATTGAAGGAAGGAAGCAGACAGAAGGAAGACAGTTTCGAGACACTGATCAATTATTTACAGAAGATCAGACGACACCAAACAGCAAGAGATGAGAAGTGGAATCGTCATAAATTCACGTTTGATGGTATTTTGAATACAGGTTCTGTTAGGGGGCCCACCCAAAGTAGGCATGCCACTCCTCACTGGATTCACCGATCCTTCAATTTGTTGATTTGCAGTGAAGCCAAGAGTCCAGGGCACCACAAGCCAGAGACCAGGCGGTAAGTCTCACACGCCCTTTGTCCCCTAACAAAGGCAATGCCATGTCTTAGGATGGAGTCCCTGGTCATTCACATGGGACCCGTGCCCAGTCAGCACTGCCACAGAGGTCTGCCCAGAGCGTCCCTGGCTGAGCCCACAGGAACTGCGGTGCCCAGGAAGCCAGTGTTGTGTGGACATCCGGTCACAACTTCCCTTTGCCTAATTTTGAGGTATGAAAAGACGTGTTTCTCATCTACTCTGTGAATACATCTGTGTCAGAAAGAGCCAAGCAGTAGCATTTCCATAGAGGATTAAGGCACAACTCTGTGACAGTTTATCATGTGACCCTGTGCCTGCATGTACGTTATGCATATTCACTGTACAGGTTGTATGAGGACAGCTATGTCTACTGTATAGACAATGTTTAGGGGTCTATGTATAGTTTTTGCCATCAATGCTTTTAGAATCACATACAAACTACACTGATCTTTTATCCTGCAGCCTTGCTGCAATCATTTATTAGATCTAGTAGCATTTTTGTAGATTCCTCAGGAGATGCTACATACAAAATCATGTCCTCTGCAAATAGAATTTTGCTTCTTGCTTTCTGTCTGGGGCCCTTTCTTTCTTGCCTGACTTTCCTGGCAGGAACCTCCAGTGCAGTGTGGAACAGCAGAGCACAGGCATCCTGGTCCTGGTCTGAGGGAAGCTTTCAGGCTTTCACCCCTGAGTGATGTTAGCTGCGTGCTTTGTAGACGCCATTATCAGGTTGAGAGTGTCCTCTTCAGTCCTACTTTGTTGCTATCACAAGAGGGTGATGGATTTTGTCAAATGTTTTCTCTGTGTCTATTGAGATGAGCACGTGGTATGGCCCTTCGTTCTGCTAATGTGGTGTGTCACATTATTGATTTTTGAATGTTGAACCAACCTTGCATTCCTGGGCTTCAGTCCCATTTGGTTTGGGTGTATTATCTCTTTTTACATAGTTGTTGGATTTGGTTTGCTAGTGGTGTACCGAGGGCCTTTTCATAAGAGATGTAGTCTGTGCTTTTCTTGTGGTGGCTTTGTCTGGTTTGGTATTGGTGAAAACAGCCTCTTAGAACTTGCCTTCTTGGAAGTGTTCCCTCCTCTGTTGTTTTTTTGGGAAAAGTTTGTGGAAGATTGGTGTTCATTCTCCTTTTTTAAACATTTGGTGGAACTCCACATGAGACTTGCAGTTACTGAGGAGAAGCTTCAATTTTCAGTTCAGTCACTTCTTCCCTCTTGGAAAATCCTCTACCCTTTGCCTGAAACAGGATGAAGCTGTTGTCTTGGCATGTCTTCTTAAAACTTCTCCTTTTCATTTTGGAGGCCTAACCTGGCAGGTAGTGGGCTGTGCAGCTTAATCTCTGCTGTTCATCTCCATGATTACCAAAAGTGCGGGGTGCTGCCCTCTGAAAACCACGTTTTATTTCCTTCATTAACTATGTGTGTGAATGCACATGCCAACTCCACACGCCTCCTTCATTCTCTACTAAAGACAGCACCAGACAGTACCTGGCGAGATGCCAGAACTCTGCAGCAGGCGCAGAGGGAAACTGAAGGATCTGTGGCCCTGGTGCCTGCTCAGCCCTATGCAGCCCGACTGCCAGCACCCTCCTGGCTGAAAGTCCCAGGGTCTACACTGTCCTCAGCCTAACCTCACCTGCTTCTTTCTGGGTGTAATTGTCTCCTGCATCTTCACCAGAATGAGCCCTGCTTCTTGTCCCTTTCCACTGTTCCTGCAGAGGAAAGAGACTCAGCTTTTGGGAAGCAGTGTCCCTGGAGGCCCACGTGCCAAACACCAGAGCCACTTGTGACTCAGCCGAGCTTAGCCTCTCACAGATGTGGTCCCCATCTCCCAGAGTCCCTGCAGGAAACTGTGTGGCTGTGTGTGTGCAAAGAGGCACCAGCCCTCTTCCCAGGACCATGCCATGGGCCCATGTGGCCCAGGGCCCCTTCTCACCTCACAGGTGCACATGCAGTGCTCGCTTGCTCACCACTACCCCTCTTTAGAGTTGTCACCACCTGGGTTCTTCCACAGACCGTCTCCGTCGGTGCCGCCTACACAGAACCCCCATCTCACGAGGAGAGTTCCCAGGAAAGGCTGTTAACCCATCCAGTTGTCCTTTTCTTTGCAGTCCTTTCTCCTTCCCACTGTCACTGCCTGGAGCAACATAACAGCAAGTGACAGAGAGTGGAGAACAGAGGAGATGCTTAGAGCACAGCCAAAGAGGAGGGTCAGGGAGGGGCTTTTCCCACGCCGCTCAATTTCTCTGCCTCTCCCTTCGCTCCCACACTGTCACCAGGGGTCACAGTTCAGAATGGCGGGTTCTGGAAACAAATACTCTTGCTAAAGACAAGACCTTCCGTGTCAGACAGGAAGAAACCTCAACTGCCTTGTTTTGTTTTTTGGATAAGAATTTCATTTTTATTTGATAGTCATTTGAGAGATTTGCACAGGCGAATGTCAGTAGCTTTTTACTAATCTACATAAAAAATTATAATGTCACAAAAAATTTTTAATTATGGTAAAGTACGCATAAAGTTTACCATCTTGACCATGTTTAAGTGTCCAGTTCAGTGGCATTAAGTGCATTCACATTGTGGTCCAAACATCACCACCATCCATTGCCAGGACATGTCTTATCTTCCCAAACTGAAACTGTCCCCAGTAAACATCAACTTCCCATCCCTCCACCCATCCCCTGGCAGCCACCAGTCTACTTTCTGTCTCTGAATTTGACTACCCTAGATGCGTCGCGTAACTGGAACCATACAGCATTTGTCTTTTTGTGACTGCCTTGTTTCACTTAGCCTAATGTTCTCAAGGCTTATCCATGTTGTAGCATTTGACAAGAGTTCCTTCCTTTTTGAGACTGAATAATGTTCCATTGCTTGGATAATGCCACATTGTGTTTATACATTCATCTGTGGATAGACACTTGGGTTGCTTCCCCCCTTTTGGCTGCTGTGAATAATGCTGCTCTAAACATGGGCATACAGATATCTCTTTCAGGATTCTGCTTTCAGTTCTTTTGGATATAATCCCAGAAGTGGAATTGTTAGATCAGATGGTAATTTCTATGTTTAGCATTTCGAGGAACTACTATAGTATTTTCCATAGTGGCTGCACCATTGTACATTTCCACCAACAGTTCACAAGGGTTCCACTTTCTCCACATCCTCACCAACACCTGTTATTTTCTGGGGTTGGTTTTTTCTTGTTTGTTTTTGTATGGTAGCCATCCTAGTGGGTGTGAGGTGGTATCTCATTGTGGTTTTGATTTGCATTTCCCTGATTAGTGATGGTGAGCATCTTTTCATGTGCTTATTGGCCATTTGTGTGTCGTCTTTGGGGAAATGTCCATTTAAGTCCTTTGCCCACTTTTTAATTGAGTTATATGTTTTTGTTGTTGTAGGAGTTCTTTATATATTCTGGATATTAACTCTTCATTAGTTATAAGATTTGAAAATACTGTCTCTCATTGTATATGCTGCCTTTTCACTCTGTTGATTGTGTCCTTTGATACACAGAGGTCTTTAATTTTGATGCAGTCCAGTTTCTCTATTTTTT